ACACACACTACACTACACACACACACACACGACACTACACACTTACACACTACACACACTACGACTACACACACACACACACACACACACACACACACACACACACACACACACACACACACACACACACACACACACACACACACACACACACACACACACACACACACACACACCACAATTGAGTGCAAGCAAACACTGTTGTCCTCTCTCCAACAGCATACCAGCTGAGAGCCTGTCAGCCACCCCCTCCTGTCGCCAACGCAACCATCCTAACCGATGATGACGAGTTTGAAATAGGTTTGTCTTCTTTTATTTTGCTTGTTTACTGGCCATAGACAATGTGTTATTAAATAAATGTGCACTAGACATAAGCTAATTTGCTTGGACAGCCCTGGACAGAGAACTAAATGGGACTTGACGTATCTAATGGTTTCGCCCATTATTAATGAGTTAATTCCCCTGTCATCTAAACTCTTTATTTGTTCATTGAAAACAATTTTGCAGATGTTTTTATCTTTGCTGTAAGTCATGGTAATCTTTATGTGTAGTACATATTCATGAACAGATGTACATTCTCTAATGTCTACTGTATAATGGATGTATGTATTTATTAAGACTGCCCCTGTACAGATATTATTTTGGCCTTCACCAACTCATTCTACCTGGGATATCTTTCAAATCTCTCTTTATTGTTGCCGTTTTCTCTTCTTTCTCATAATTATTTCCATTCTTCTGAGTTTGGCGATTTATTCATGCGTTTTGCAATTAGATAGAAGTTTAAGGCAAGGGCTGATTAGCTCTTGAAGTAGGCCCTTTTTTGGTTACAGTGTTCAGAAGTGTATAAAATTGGAAATCACATGGCTAGTGTCTGCCTTACTTTGTGTCTTTGAAATTGAGTGTAAATTAGATTTTGTGTGTGCATGCGTGTGTGTGCAATAATGCCTTCAGTACTCCAGCTATACCTAAGGGGGTGTCAATCTTCATTAGAAAATGTGTTGTTGATTACTGTTTGAAGTACTCGTACTGAGGAGGCTGCTCTTGTGTGTGTGTGTGTGTGTGTGTGTGTGTGTGTGTGTGTGTGTGTGTGTGTGTGTGTGTGTGTGTGTGTGTGTGTGTGTGTGTGTGTGTGTGTGTGTGTGTAGACGGATATGTCTTTCATATCCACTCCCAGCGTGTGTTTGAATAATTGCGTGTTATATGACTTCGCACAGGGGACATCATTCAGTACTCGTGCCTGCCCGGCTTCACCTTGGTGGGCAGTGAGATTCTGACCTGCCGACTTGGAGAGAGGCTACAGATGGATGCACCCCCACCAGTCTGTCAAGGTTGGTTTTATTTAATGTACAATTATATGAGTATATTTTAATGTTTTTTGGTGGCATTTTTAATTATTATGAGTGTGTCTTTTCAAAGTTTGTTCAAATATTTGTGAATGCAGATCCCTGTTCAGTTGTGTATGCCTGAGTATGTGTGCTTGATGCCATTCTGCCAAGGTTGGTTGGAGTCGCAGCCAGCACCCACTGTTGCTGATACATCATTTAACAGATTGCCAGCAGGCCCCCTTCTAGCAAGCTCCTGGTGGCAAACAGCTTCTCTTTTCTAATTTTTCAAGACTCACAGTCAGAATACTACTGACCCAAGATCATAGACCTGCTCTCCCCTAGAACCAGCACTCAACTGTGAAGGATCAGTGTGAAACAGATTACAGATCAGCAGTTTTCATCGACAAGTGTTTTTTGTGCAATGTAACAAGGTGGATGGAAAGCAGTCATGGCTGTTTTTTCTCCTTTGAAAGGGAACTCAGATGTAAGCCCTTAATCCTTGCTCAAAGGGACCCGTGGGTTTGATTGATGTAAAATGTCTTTCTAGCAGTGTTTTCGAAACAACAAGCAAAGTAATAGAAATGTCTGTGTTGTCAGCATCAGAGATTTTCTCAAGACCAAAAAACAAACACCACCAGCCTGCTTGTAGTTCCAATACATCCCTGCCGCAGACAACAGAGTCCTCTTAAACCTTCTGTTCCCTGTGGGAAGATGTCTTTTGAAGGGCCCTGAAGTCCTTTGTGTAGTCTTGAGTTGATGAGCATTTGTCTTTTATTTTTCTTTCTAGAAACTATGAATAATCACATTGGAATTGTGATCAAGCCATGACAGATACTTGACAAACCCAGAGCCTGCATTCATAAAGCATCTTAGAATAGGACTAGTGATTTGGAACCTTTTTGCTCATCCCTGGCTATACTTATTTGATGCTTAACTTGATATCTTTGTTCTTTCCCTGTAGGGTTTTTGCGGCTGACATTGTTTTGCTCTCACAACTTGCCCTGATTTCATTTAAGGATGTGGAAAGAGAAGCAACAAATAGTTATGGCAGCTTAAATCGAGTGACCTGGTAATCCAAGCTGTGAAAGCTACTCACATTCCTATACTTTATTCATAAAAGGCTACATGCTGCACTGCACATTAACATTAGCATTGTGTTAAAGTCTTGAATACAACAGCTTCTACCTTTTTATTGTGCTGCATTGAGCATTTTTTAGAAATTAATAATGTATAAAAGAAAAAGGGGTATAAAGTCCCGCAGCATTTTATGATCTTGTTACACATTGCAGAATAAAGAGAGAGATATGGAAACGGAGGAGTAAAAATCTTAATTGTATATGTTCAGACTGCATAACAGCTGTCTGGCATACAGATTTACATTCACGTTAAGCATTGCAGTGAGATGTTTTTCATTTCATTGTTTGTTTACGAGTGACCAATCTAGCAGATCAGTAACAACTGTGAATGGTTCAGAATAATTTGATCTGTTTCTTCGGTGCCAAGTGAGGGCAGTCACTCTTTTGAGAGTACTGGGAGGTATTTCAAGCTCTCTTGTTGTGTTGGACTTGCCATCTCACCTTCTCATGTGTTACTGTTATACAGAGCCCTGCCAACACAGACTAGCTTCTATCAGCTAAAACTCATATACTGTATTTGAAATCATTTCACAGGCTTTCATTTGAGTGACTGAATTAACCTGCCAAATCCAGATTGGCAAAGCATGTCGGGACTATTATTGGAGAACACTACATTGTTTTTCACTTGGTTTCATGTGAACGGCAATCAATATTACGGCAGAAATGTTTTCTACTTTTTTTATGTTTGACAGTATACATCTCATACATCATTGCGTTGTCCTGCAAGTCCGGTTATCTAGGATATTGATTAAAAAGCAACATTTATATATAAAACATTAAGGTATAACAGTGGTTGTCCTAAATATGCGCAGTTACTGTACATTATAATCATGATAAGATATAGTTAGTATATATCTCGATCGATTATCTCCATAAATCCTGCATAAAATTGGCATTGGGACGTCTGGGTTAGTTATTTGTCGTTTGACATTTTCATGGATCACCCCATTATGGTAGTCAAGAATTCATTACATTTTCTTGTGCTGGATATGTTATGTCCTTGTGCCACCTCTAGCACGGAACTAATTGCTCTCCTTGGGAAATGTAAAATTGAACTTAATTTCAGTTGACCTGCTATTCACATCCTAGAGACTGCTGCAGTAAGCTTTTAAAGGAGCCATTTCCTGTCGGCTGCTTGCCGGAAAACCAATTCTCCAGTGTTCCTCCTTTTCGCTTTTGTTTGCTGTCAACCCTTCTGTTAATTGTCATTTTATGCTTATAAGATAACACTGAAATGTCCTTGCATGGCTATACACGTTCACCCTCAAATTCCACTGGTTTTTCAGATATTTCCCCAGACTCTGCCTCAATGAGGAAGGTTGTGTATCAGCTTCAATCAAGGATATAGCCACAATTGAGTTTACTGCTGTGTATGCCCAGCAAGCCATCTGCCACATGCAGGTTGAGTCCGACCCATTACTTTTTGTAATATTGATCTTCACATTCCCATAGTTTTTCATTTGTCAGAAAACCTAATGAAAAGCAATTTCTGCTCTAACCTATCTCCATTATACTTATGTATGTTTATTTTTATGATGTCTCTGCAGCCGGCAATATGTATCAGTCGTTGCCATGGCATTCTTATTCTACACACAGTGATCTGAGTAAAAGAATAAACAATTACTGGTTTGCAATAGAAGTTACAGAACAAATGCCATTGGCAGTCCTGTTTAAAACATCACATTTTGCATGCATGCCATTGTAAATTACATTGAAATACTACCATACATAAATGGGTCAAAAGAGATTTGATTTATGTCAAAAACTAAATATAACTTCCATTTAACCATTTAATCATTATTCAGAGATGAATTTCCTGGTGATGTTGGGATATTTATTTACCTAGTAATGGTGTTATATTATTTTTATATTAGTTTTTCAGGCAATACATGCATGTTTTGCAAAATACTGCATTTTCATAGTATCCTAATCAATATAGGAATACATTGTAAGTTTCAGTCTTTGTCCTGATCATGGTCCTCTAAAAAACAACCTCATTAAGTAAAAGTATTGAGGTGTCTGAAACAGTGTTAAGCCTCTCACAATTATTCTTTATTTAATCCCTGCCCCTAAAGTTGGAGGCAAGGCAATTTAAGACACAACTGTGCTTACTGGATGAACTTGTGTGTGTTGCGTGGCAACGTTAACTTATTAAAAAGCCTGTGACACGAGTTTCCCCCATCATCCAAACCCATCAATTTGAGTAAATATTGTCCCCTTGAAAACCGTTACTGAACTGATTTTGGATATTTGTACTTTGATAACCATTAATCTGCCCTTCAATGTTGAGAATTTTCTAGATCTTCTCGGGGATTCTTCAAGTCCCGCCAAATTATGGGTGACGTCAATGCGGGCAAAGCGCTCCAGCTGCACCGTTCAGGATCCCAGCATCTGCATGTAAACGCACGATGGCGCACACAGCAGCAAGCTCAGACAGCGATGACAGTTTAATTTTGAACGTGTCTGAGAGCTCATATGAGGCTGAAGGATCGGTTTATGTTGTATCTGTTAGAAGTTTAGGAATTAGGTGCGTCAATATGGGCGATCATACCGGTACCGGTACCGCCATCGGGATGGACTGGGACTAAAAATCAGCCCGGGACTCTCGACCGGCCCACTTCGGTACCACTAGTAAATTGTCAACGGGGGGAGTGGGGGATGTGCTAGTGACTTATCCGACCGGCCCACTTCGGTACCGGCCCATCNAGTTCTATTCTCACGCTGATGACTGCTTCCAGCGCCATTACCATAGCCATAGCCATGCTAAAGCTTTGTAGAAACTGGAATAATGACACACGGGGCCCAGACGCACAGTGATGTGCACAGAGTGTGCTTTTACACTTATTTTATCCATGTATACGATAATATTTCAATTCCATAAAGGAAAGAGATAAAGAAAATTTAATACGAGAGATAAAGACTATAAGCTGGCGCGAAGGCTGTACCATATGCCACTGAGTTCGCCACTTAGCTCTTGGTATGGTGTGTCCCCAGTCAAAAACCCCAGCCGGATGCCATGGGCTGGGGGTGTTGCCAAATTGCCCTAGAGGGCGTTGCCAAAATCTCCATTTGTTCAATTACAGGATTAACCATGAATGGACGCTTCATTCACAAATACAAAGACAACTGGGTATTGTACGAACTCTAGTCTCGTTCGCAATGATTCCAGCCTCTTGTAAGTTGCGTATGCCGATACTGTAAGCATCTTAATCACTATATTTGTCTATGACGGTTTTCACAGGCTACTATAATGAAAAAATATCAATATTTTTAATCAAATAATAGTATATAGTGTTGCTTCTTGCAGTACACTTGTTTGTAATATTTGTTGGAGTGTTTTTCACAGTGTGAGAGGTGAAAAACGAGGGGATAGCACAGATTAATAAAGACAAAAATAAGATGAGCGACTAAAAATAATAATAATGAGAAACATATACATAAGCAGCAATAAAACTCCAATGCTAAATATCATAATCATAATAAATTAAATGTATGTATATTAAAGTAAATCACATTCCACAACCCCCCCATTATAGCAGACTGCCACATTCGAATGGATGAACACATTTAGTAGCATCAATACGAAAACAGAGTATCTTTTGCTAAATACCAAGTTTTACAATACTTATATGCTCAATATTAACCCTTTGGAGTCGTGCGTCACGTCGCGTGATCAAGATCACATGACCCTTTCAAGCCGGTGCATGGCATAAAAACAACAGTCGCGACAACATGCCGTGGGTTTTTGTCGAACGTACTGGCTTGAAACGATATGCCAGTCTTTGTTTTCATGCAAAAAGACCCAGTAAAACACGAGATTACTATGAGATAAGTGAATATATTCAAAAGTATGAAAAAATGAAGCAC